TGGAAACACAGAAGCTTATACGTGTGTGTTGAGCTGCAGTACTTATAAATGTGACGGTCGTGCTCAATAAAAATACGAACATTTATGTCAAAAAAACTTCGTGATCAAATTTTTTTATAAACGCTTGAGAGAAGTGCNCCTTCTTGCTTATATAGTTAATTATGAGGTTTATCCTCATAATTAACCTTTCGTGGACAGACCTCAAAAATGATTAGTTGACCAGATCGGGGGTTTGCAAAAAATCAATATTTTTTGTTTTTTGAAATGGTTGGCCACTTCCGCGTCGATAAAATAAAATAAAATAAAATTAAATTAAATTAAATTAAAAACTGCAAAAAAAAACAAACAATGAAAACTCTCTAGTAGTTTCGAAGATATAAGCGTTTATGACAAAATCAAATTTTTTCTAGAAACGAACGCCGATGCGCAATTTTTGAGTGGGTCTGGAAGACCCACGTCTGTTCTCGAAGGGTTAAAATAATCTCTTAATTTCGTAAGAAAAAAAAAAAAAAGAAAATAGCGAGCCGCGCTTTACGCGGTCTCTTGATACATGAGCGAAGACTAAACAAAGTTGTACGGCTGTGTACGCGTGTGTACAAGATAATACAACGTAGCCAGCAGGAGCATGTCCGAATTAAGGAGTTTCGCTGCTCCAGAAATTTGAACAAGATAGAAATGTTTAAACAAGATATACACGCCAGTAATGAAATTTATATTCCAGCCACTCTAATAAAATTCACATACAATTGCAAAAACTTTTNGATAAAACAATCCTTCTATTGTTTGTAGCAAGTGTCTCAGTAAGATCTAAACGATTCATATTTTTAGTTAAAGGGAGGATAAAATTATGTGTGTGTTGTTTATTATAAAAACTCCGCATCTCTTACATAATTTTATAATATATTTAACACATAGACGCAAAAATTAATATTTATAAAATAGTTTTAACTACGAAGAAAAGGAGAAAATTTTCATATATACATATATACTTACGTATATGTATTCTTTATGACGCTCACATAAGAGGACTTCAAACACATTTAAAACAATATAGAAAATTTAATTTTTAATTCAGTGTTCGTAAACGAGCACGTTAAATTAAAAAAAAAAAAACAAAAAAAAATCAATCTTTAGAGTTTACTTAGGTTGTAAAAAAATGTTCTCGTTTGCAATAAAAAGTATATCTTGTTCTTGAAATACCGCCGAATGAACGAGCTTTTACTATTGCCGAGTCGCATAATGAATACACTCTTCTTCGCAGCGACCAGATCTCTATTAGATCTTCCAAGTTGTAAAAAAAAAAAAATACCTTTT